AAAACCAAATTTAATACCCCGGCTTTGAAAAATCCAAATAAAAACTATTATTTAAATCCCTGATGTCCCGCGATACTAAAGGAAAGAAATTCGCTAAATAACGGTGAACCGGATTTGTGCGATTGTGGTCAAACTGCAAGTCATTCTTATTACTTTCTTAATTGTGATATATATAAAACCCTAAGAAAGGGAATTGTGCGCGAATTGTTACGGTCTGCTGGAGCTTTTCGCCTAGATCTTGTGCTCCTGAAAATCCATAAGGATTTGTACTCGATGAAGTTGATTACTACTGCTGTTACAAAATACATCAAAGAAACAAATCGCTTTAAATGATTCATTACTTGCCAAATCAATCATTTATTTTTATCTATACAATTGAATTCCCTCAGATTTGCATCATTGTTCCCCTACTCTCTCTCTAATTATTATTTACTCTGGCTTTTTCTTCATTTCTCTTTTTCTGTTGCTGTCTTTTTTACGTCTGCTCATTTGCTTGTTGATTATTTCTGTTTTTGTTCTTGGAGAATCTAGTTCATCATTCAACATTTTGTCGCCAAGTAAGAATGTTGTAGTGAGCAGTAGCCCGGCTATGTTCTTACTTGTATTGTAGAATCATTACGTTATTTACTGAGGCTCAAGAGCACAAACGAGTGTGCAGAAAATTGGTTCATCTGCTAAATGGTTTCCAACAGAATCCAAAGTTCTTAAATGAATGTAATATATTCGAGGCCGTTGTCGCAAACTGCGATGGGTCTACGACTACGAGATAGGAACTGTTTGTAAACAAACGCTGTTTATTTCTTCTTTTCTTCGTTGTCCCTGTGTACATGTATCTAAATTGTGGTATATATTTCTTTTCTCCTCTCTGCTTACAACTGAACTTAAATATATTTTTGAAAACAAGATACAGCATCAAGAATTGACTGAAATCAATTTCGAACTGGCTGTAAACAGCGCTAACATGCGCTTAATAGCATTTTAAGCAATGGAGCACATTTTCAGCATTTAAGCGAAATGGTAACCAACATTTTGCTCCACAACTCGTGGTTGTATATCGTTAGAAACCATGACGGTTAGAAAAGTGAAATCGGCAGCATTTTCACTATTGAAACCGCGATCGGCAATGGTTGTAAACCGAGAAGAATCGCGGTTTTGACCTGCCAAATGGCTTCAATTCACACCCTGTTACACCGATTTGAAACGGTTATAAACCGCGTCTTCGACGGTTAACTACTGATTGTTTTACAAGGTATCGAACCGCAGTTACGAACGGTTATAAGCCACATAGAACCACGGTTGAAACCGTCGATTCAAAACACAAACCGACTTATGCGCGGTTTATGACGGTTTGAAGCGGGTTTTTGTCGCAAATCTGCGGTTTATGACGGTTTTTTTGCTGAAACAGCAACTGTTTTTTAGCCGGTTCTTTTTATGTTTTTTCGTGTAAGGATAGAATATACTTTTGTATAATGGCAGTTATAATGATACGAATGATCATATTCATTTTACCAACATTTCATTCTTCTCTATCAGGAAGATAATCTACAATTGGAATGTTAGTAAATGCTTCTGCACATTCCCTTGGCTGCAAGTCTAGGGTCATATGAAAAATATGTCCTCCATTCAAATAATAAGATGCTCGCATATTAATTTTCGATAAGGGGTATCAATATACATGGGAACAAGTAAAACTGGACAGAAGTGGCCACCGTACAGCGAATCTCGAGAATTATTTAAAAAGAGGTTGCTGACCGCAAAACGAACATAGTCACAAGGAAAAAAGAATATGATGCATTTTTTACGCTCTGTTCGGCGGTCTGGTCAAAACTTTCCGCGAACATCATCATTTTTTCGCTAATGAATTTAACTTAAAATTAAAATTATATCCCGATTGGGATATATGTTTTTTGGCTATATCATGATCGGGATATAGAACATGAGACTCTACTGATATATAACCGTTTTCTTCGAACAGTCTCTAAACTATCCTTATTTTCAATGTACACTTCTTGCCTTTTGACTAGTGAACTTTCCTTTTTGAACAGATTAGACATGTATTGGCGGCGGTTAATTTTCATTTTTCCACCCAAAAATGACTTTCAGAAATCTTAAATGGAGCCTTTTATATGTAACTCGATGTGCTCGTTTCAACGAAAACAAAAGAAAAACAAACATATTCTGCTCTCTTTTTGCATTATTGGCATCTTACATCAAATGTATATTTTATAACAACCATTGTGAATTATATTCAGTCTTTTTGTGGTAACAGTAAAATATCGTTCAATTCAAATACAGTTCAGTTTCACGAATTATATTAATTCGTCTGGTTTTTGTGATGAACCAGATTCCAGATTTTTAATATAAAAATTCTTGATTACCCGAAAAACATGTTATAATCGTTAGAAAGCTATCATTTTTGCTTTCCGTGGTGGCTCTGCTACCATAACAGAATTGTTTGTTTGTTTAAACTTTATTTTCATACAAATAGAAGAACAAGTTAGTAGGATCCAGGAAGGAATCAACTAGCCATTGTACCATTCCTTAGAGCCTAATGTCGAAGCAAATAAGTAGTAAAAAGAGCAAGAAAAACTTTAGAACGAAAAAGAAACACAAATTGAGTGAGGAAGGGTGTGGTACAACAAAGAAAAAGTATACAGTTTTAAATATCGAATCTTAAAGATTCTTGTATATAAATAACAGAATTCGGTTACGCTTTTTCATCATTTTGTTTTGCCTATAATCTCCAAGCCGACTGTCGTATAGTGTCGCGGGATATCTTAAGTTAAAGAGAACAGTCTGGTTAACAGCTTAAGATATTTTTCAACCTTACAACATATATCGTTAAGAAGCTGTAACCTAAACATTCGACACTAATTGTGCAAAAATCAAATTAAAAAAAATTAAAAGCTGATAACTTTTGAAAAAATTTAAAACAAAACTTTGAATCCAATCATTTTGTCCTTTCGGAGACATGAAGACAGTCAGTTTAGGAATTGTAGGCAAAATAAAATGATGAAAAATCGTTATCGAATTCTGTTATGGTAGCCGAGTTGACTGGCCACGCCGTAAAGCAGATTCAAACTGCGTGTCATGCAAATAAGTTTTGTGTGAAACTACTTTTTGAACTCAGCGCACCTCCACCATCCTATCGCCCACCACACACTTCCAAAAATACCCAAATGTGTATTATGAAAAATTCGCAGAAAAGTCGGTTCGTCTAGATGTCTTGCGGAAGTGTCGTTCGTGGACGAGTAATGTGACGTCGAGTTCTCTGTCTTTTGCAAAGTTATGAAAAGTTTTAAGAATAGTATACAATTAAAAATCAAACCCTTTATTTCAAAACCTGAGAGCCGTTCGGTTTTCTTTTACCCTTTTCCCGTTTCGGTTTTACCCAGTTCGGCCTAAATGACGGCATTACATTTTTTCCACTATTCAGCTCTGTTTCTCGTCAAATAATGAACAAAAGTTGGCAAAACTTTTACCAAACATGTGCGACAGGCTGCTTGATTTGTGATAAAAATTTGGAATCAGTCGGTTCAGTAGAACGGCTTTCATAAGCAAACTAGATGTCGTGACAGGGTTGCATTTTCCAGCATTTTTTCCCACTGCAAATCAAAATCAAAATGATGGATGAACTCTGTATCTAATTTTTTTCTTTATATCTAACAGTTCCCGGGTTCCTTCCCAGATATGAAAGATAGAGAATTTTCTCCTCTACAAAATCTATTATGTTGTGCATTCATACCACATTCTTTGGGTAGATACTTCCTGTTCTTTTTAAATTTGCAATCACTTGAAAGATTTGATTATCTTTTGCGGTAAAACGTTTTGCAATTTCGGCCCCTATATAAGAAGCCGTCTAGCCAAAAAGATAGGACTCAGCCCTAGAATGCTTCTCACCTTCCTCACTCTGCATTATTTTCCAAAATAATGAAACAACATGTGAATATAGGATACCGTGGATTTTATAGAACTTGAAATTCTTATCTTTTGACATATAAATAAAATATTCCGATAAAGTGGTGCAGGTAGGGAAAAAATTACTGCAATTTATTGTGGCTCACGCGTTATAGCCAACTTTTCACCAGTACCATTCAAAATTAAATATAGCTTACAAAATTCACTCTCACCTCACTAAAAGCTGAAATAGTGGGAACAGCGGAATGGTTTCCTTATACCATTGTTTGAATACACACATGAAAATATATATAACTTACCTTGAAAACAAATAACATCAAAAGATAGAGCGTTATCGGTTCGTTTTATATGTAAAAATGAGAAATGAATATATTTTGTCATATAAAAACATAGGTATTAACAAACAGATATTCTATTGAGTATTGAAAACGAAAAATAGATAAACACACATTTACACAACAAATATCATTAAAAACCTAAGTTAAAAATTCTTTGGAATCACGTACAAATGAAGTGATATATGGTTTTCAGCTCATTGTGCAAAGTTTCTCAGATCAAATAGTGACTGAACGAACATATTTACCGCAACCAGCAGAGTCTTTGAAGCATCCTGGAACGTCGTAGAAATAATAACCAGCACAATTCAATTAGTAGAAGCGTTTATCTTTATCTGATTTTTTGTTTATAGATAGAAAAAGATCCAAACAACTTCAAAATAATGGTAATAACAGTATATGTTTTTCTTCTGTTAATGTAAGTATTAAATTTGAGATTTATCATTGTATAAGAACGCGACTTATTGTTGTTGTCACTTTAGAATATTGAATGCATCGATACTGAGTATGTATATATGTGTTGATCTATCGATTTTTAACCAACTACTTCTCCTATTGCACTCTTGACATATGAGTAGATGTTACAAAATTCAAATTTGCCAAAAAAAAAGCCATCTTCTCTCACAGATGTCAGAATATCAGTACGCAGTGTAAACGGCGAGGCACAGCATGACAGTGAGTCACTATGCAACATTTGTGTATTGTCGTATATTCCCACTGAGAATACACCAAGCCCAACAAGTTTGCAAAAAATAATCTCGTTTTGATAATACTCTGCGTACTGATATTCTACCACCCCTCTCCTCTCTTTGTGTGAATCAGATTACAAATTGACTTTTGCAGATGAGGGGATATAATCGTAAAATAGATGAAATTATCGAACTAAACGAAAGATCATTCTCACTCTCATCCTAGTGTTTAGAAATCTTCCTGGATTGATAATGTGTATATCTAAGACCAGAAATAGATTCTATCGAAACGCTTCTTCTATAAGCAAAAATCCAACAATTTTTAGGAAGAAGTTTATGTATTCTATTCAACTGTTCTCATCTTGATATCACTCTACTTGCAAGAAAAGCAGCTCCTCAAACTTGTACAACAGTATTCCTCTTTATTACTAGTTGGAACATCACTAACACCAGCAATCTGTCCAAATGCAACATGGAGTAAATATGCAACAACAGTCGCAGGTGGTAATGGTCAAGGTGCAGCATTTAATCAGCTTAATTTTCCAGATGATATATTTTTGGATATTCAGAACACTCTCTATGTAGCCGACTTTAGCAATAATCGTATTGTGAAATGGCCTCAAAATGCTCTTACCGGTCAAGTTGTGGCTGGCGGAAATGGTATAGGCAACAAGCCAAACCAGCTATGGGGTCCAACAGCAGTGTTTGTAGACAAAAATAATAATAGCTACATTTCGGATTT